CATTGTGAACTCTCATTATAACAGACTTCTACTGCATTTACTTACTGATATATGTAACTTGTAAATGGCACCAAATCCATGCAATGAAAATGCCATAGCACTTGCAAAGGAATAAAGTTCTGCAAGAAATAATGTACAAAATTTACACAAATAAACTGATCAATAACTCAAAACCACATGAATGTAAAGCAGTACAAGTACAATGTGTGCAGTGTGTGTTACAAAACTGCTCATCTAAAATAATGCACGTGTCACAGCAACAGTTCATCACATAATACCACCACTGATCAAAATGTTAGTTACCTTGCAGCCCATGAAATTAATATTTTACAGTAGAATTATGAAATATAATTACCCCACACCCCACTTAATGGTACCTGCACCTTGTCGTGGTGGTGGGGCTTGAGTACCTCAGCGATCCCAAGAGCTATGCTGGCGGTAGCATAGCTACTGGTAGGGCCTCCCTAGCCAGATTGGTCGAGGGGGAGAGGTCAGACTAAGACAGGTATCCTCGTCCTCCAGGTTGGGGGTTGGTCACAAGGCTAACAACCTTGCACCGTAAAAAGGAAGATGTTTCGAAACCTCAATCAAAGCCTAGGACAGAATGGACCTAACAATAGGACCGAATGGAAGAGGAGGATTGAGGAGGCCATGGACCGAATACGGACCGGAGAGCCATAGAAGAAGAAGTAGAAGTAGAAGTAGAAGAAGAAGAAGAAGAAGAAGAAGAATTACCCCACACAGTATTCTGAATTCAGTGTTAATTTCTTCTTGAAGATTGCTGTCTTCTGGGTTGTTGCACTGTGTAGTCTGGTAGATGCCCACCAATGTTTCAGAGGTCAAACTGCCTCTTTCACCGGGGCGATGAATCATAACAACCCAGAAGACAGCAATCTTCAGACTCACTGTTGTAAAAACCTCAAATCCCAATTGATTTCTTCTTATTTGTAGTTCTTCTGTATCTGAAAGTGAATATGGTTGCAGCCATGGTCTAGCTAATAAGACTTTAGACTCTTACCTGAGGGTTAACATGACTTTAGGGGCAGGATAATGTCATACAATACGTATACCTCATATTTTAATAACTATTTGTGACAGATGAATCAAGCCTCCATAGTACCTCCTGCAAGCTCTGAGTTCCAGGTTATAGCCTCCAGAGTTATGCTAAATTGGTAAAATGAATCAACTACAACTGTAACAAACTATATAACTGACTGAGGTTAACTAATGATCCCAAACTAAAAAACAACTGCTGTAAAATGATACACAAAATGTGACTCCACAAAATTTTAGTTTTGGCAAAATGCAGAACAACCAAGTATCTACTTTCTTCCTGCCTGCTTATTAAAATGGAATGAAGACAGAAAGAAATTGCTAGTCAATGCCCAGCAATTTGTAGGTGCTGAGAAAACCCAAGTTTCAGGTGTAAACAAATACTTAAGTCTTAATTTGAATTATATCTTGAATTTATTAACAAAACATGAGATAAGCAATCTTACCCTTCTTAGCATCTGCCTTATTATTTGAAAAATATTTAGTTCATAACTCAACGCTGAATCTGTCAACTAAACCTAGGTATAATTAGATGCTGATGGTTCAAAATTGACTAACCATTTCAAAATACTTCTGTTTGAAACTATCAATTTGAAATTTATTCATTGTAACCAGTTTCTTCACAACTCCGGTCAATTCAGCAAGCTCATTTTGCATTTTCAATTCCAACAAGATACAGCTTTTTTGTCCACACTGTGATCTAGAACTCAGTACATAGTCTTCCAAAGCTTTTGCACATATGTTTGCTGTAACCAGTGCCACGGAGTCTCTTGACAAAAAGGAACTTCTTTCAGCATAATCTTGCAAAATTGGGATAACCTACAACAGAAATTGTTGTAATCACAGCGCTATTTTACAGGAAAACAAATACAACCCATGTTACACTTTTTGTTATTACAAAATAGTGTATGTGTAGACATGCAAATATGTTAAATAATCAATCACACATGGCCTCCAGATTAGTGACTGGGTGTGGGGATAATGTTCCACCACAGAAATCTTAAGGTGGAATCCCATGATCAAAAAGTTTGAGGAGCCAATACTTTCCGAGTGTTCTTTACATGAAACGAAGCACAACGGGGAAATCACGTCAGTCCATCCCTCCACTTACATGTTTCATCTCCAAAACTATCTGATGAATATTTATGAAATGTGGTACTGGAAATACTGTGAACAACCCGTTCTTCAAGTGCCTGAGCACTGCGGGTTCCAACTTTTCGTTGGTTTGACCTACAAACATTTGGTAGGGCTCCTTGGACGAGTGATCGGCCCGTCGCAATGCCTCTACCTATTTACAGAACAGCACAACACAGAAAAACATCCATAGATTGAGTGGGATTCGAACCCATGGTTCCAGCGACCAAGCGGCACAAGGCCCACGCCTCAGACAGCGCGGCCACTGCGGACCCCAAATGAGGTACTGGAAGATCTAAACTGAAAGTTGTCAGGCAAGTATAAAGATGACTGTCTTCTAGGATATTTTGCCACACAGTCTGGTAGAAACCAACATGTTTCAGAGGTGCTTAAATTCCTCTAACAAAAGAGAGAAAAAGAGCTTCCTAAGAAAAACTGTAAAGACATATTACTATTATCTAATTGTTTCAAGCTTTATATTGTTGCAGCATCTGAGCTGCAGGCTGAACAGAATTAATGTAAGATTTTGAAGGTATAATTTTCTTGTGCTTACCTGTGAAAATGACTTCTTCATTGACTTTAAATCTAATATGGCATCAACAGTTTCTCTGTGATTATTTAACCTCTGGTTAAATGTGGGTTCATTGGATGTGAGAAATCGCAGGAACTGAAGATCATTTTTATCTAATCTTGGAGACATATCCTATAAAGACATCAAGTTACAATTACAGAAACAAATGAGATGCATTCTTATGATATAATTTCAGTGCAAAGTCAGACATACAAAATCTGGAATTAAATCCTTAATGGGATGCATTACAGAACTTCACAATGCACCAACTAAGAGCACAAATTAGTATAGAATATAAATTTCAAGTACCATTAAATGGTTAACCATGCCTGTCTAATACTGAGAAGTAAACCAGTGTAGATTAAACTTCTAACCTTAGAAATAATTTCACGCAATAAGACAACAATTATGTATAGTACTGAGCAGGATAGCAATAAACTGGTACACATTATTGTAACTTATATGGAAAGAAAATTAACTATTTAAATACTTACACCACATTTCACTTCATCACCATATTCTATATGAGGCAGGGTAGCTCAGTCAGTGTAATGTCTAGCTACAGACTGGATGGAAATTTGATTCTAAGCAATGCAAAGAATTTTCTTTCAACACTCTGCTGCCAGACTGGCTCTATGGCCCAACCAGCCTCCTAACCACTGGGTACAAGGGAGTAATTGCCCCAGGGTTGGAGCATAACAATGACCACTCAACCCATCTAGTGCAAAGGTCAAGAACAAGTCGGAGCCACACAGTCTCTCCCAACAAGTGCCTCAAAAGCAAATACTAGGACAGCTTTCCTTATACCAATTTCTTATTATGGTATTCAAGCCATCATTTCTCCAAATTTTAAGAAAATTGTCCAACTACTCATACAAACGGCATGCATTCCCTATTATGACTGTTTCCATACAGAAAACAGCTCAAGAATAGTACATAACTTTATTACAACAAAATTAACTTACCATAAATTTCTTCAAAGCATCACCATTGTAATGGTTTTCAATAAATCGTAAAATGATGGCTTCCTTGGTACTGATTCGCTGCTTCTTCATTTTTTGTGTTGAAATTCAAATCGTGATCAGGGCTGAACACAAACCCCTGTCAATGAACTGAGGCTTTCTTATGATTACTAAATCCAATACAGACCCTTCAATTAGACACATTCCTGACCTTGTCTACAACAACTGAACACTGGCATGACAAGTGATGAAGAGCTTCAGTAGGGGCAAGTTGTGCTGTGGGACTAAACTTCAAAACAGATTAAACTGTCTTATCTGGTGCTGAGGCATCTGTTCATTGCTCAAAGTATCAAAAATGGAACTGCAGGAAATCTAGACTACAAACTGTGATATTCATTCCTAACAGGAAATTAGAACATAACCTAACAACCTTATCCATTTACAAAACTCGGTTCCAAAGTCAGCTAGAAACTAATCTACTTGCATTCCCCATCATATTTCAGGTGTGAACAGTAACAGACAATTGTAATTTCACTTTCACATTTCCTCAGTATTTAAATACCTAAGAAAAAAGTTAACAACACTCGATTTCCATACACAAATAACGAGTACAAAATACTTGCCCAACACCAACAGCAGACATTATGCTTAAAATTCAATTTAGCCAACATAAATCTTAACGCGTAAATTTACCTGCAGGTAGGTGCTTAAAGATTCTGCAGGTTGAAAGACGATGTCGTCTTCTTGTCCCAGAAAGCACAAAACGTTTGCTCGTAATCCATGCATTACCTGAACGTCCATGCATAATATACTAGGGGCTCAACCCCATTTTGCTTTGCTGTCAAACCTCGCCTGAAAGCTTCCATCCATCCCATTTCTATCTTCCCTCCTTCCGATCCTTCCCTCCCGTCTAATCCTTTCCTTTTACTTTATTCCTCCTTTCTCCCATAACTGGGTCAGTCAGTTACTGGTTTCTCACTACAGAGGCCAAGGTTCACTCCCAGCTCAGTCCACGTGGAATTTGTGTTTGACTCAGCTACACTCGGGCAGGCTTTCTCCTTCCCCAGTCAGTATCATTCCACAGCTGCGCCCAATATATTTACATACTATCTGGGGGATGTACGGGAGGCCTGTTAGCGTCCCAGTTCTATAGAGATATAGTTTTCCCGGCTGAAGGAAGAACAAAATTAGTCCGTCTTGGTCAATTCGGGGGTATGGACCTGTGCTATCTGCTGCTGTATCTTGGCGAACGAGACTTGGAACTCTACCCTTAGATGAACCATCTGCTACTGAAGCTGAGGTTATTGCTATAGGGATGGGGGGCAGAGTTATGTGCCTGCCTTAGGTGGGATGTTGCAGGTGTTAATACGCTGTGACTGGGCATAATCTATCGGAGTTGATCATGGGAAGCTTCCGAACAAATTCAAGTTGCACCATTTCTTCTTCAGAACACTTTGCTCTGCAAGCATCCCACACTTTTTCTGTATTTTTCAACTCATGAATTTCTTTCTATTACTTAAGCAATTATTGTCAACACAGACGGCATACATTTATTCAACCACTGAAAGACAGAGGGGTCTTAGTATCATAAACAGCGAAGCAAATAATTAAATCATTGGAAAGTACACGAGTCCAGAAACGTGAAGAACTTACGCGATCACACCCAGAACTTTGGAAGTGAAGGGAAGGGGTCGATTGCACCCTTAAATTCTAACTTAGAGGTGAAGTGTCTGTATGCGTGTAAGCTGTATTTGTATGGTCTATTCCTGTCTGCTCACGTGCTCTGGATTCCTTTAATCACATGTGACGCAATAGAGATAATTGAATGATAGGTGAAATGAGGTTATTTCAAAACATTTTTGTAGTTGCCTTCTCTATAAGCTCGACTGTTATTTTAGACGTCCATCGTCTTGGTTATTTGTTAAAAAACATCTCCGTCATTGGCCAGTGATAACGACTAGTTCTCTCTAAGAGACCCAACAGAGTAGGCAGTCTTGTCTCCAGTCTTCACCTGAAGACGGAGACAGATTCCGTTTCCTAAACCTTAACATAAACCAAGCTGATGGATAATGTCCAAAGTAACAGTCGAGCTTACTGTAACACACATTTGTCAGAACCCTTTAGACCAGCTTTCTGTGTGTTGTGATAACGAAAAATATATAGGGCTCATCAAGAATAAATATGTTGGAATACCTGAAAATTTTACTGAAGATCTTACATACAATATTTTATAACGATAGGCTAGTTATGTATTTATAAATACTCTTGGACAAGTCTACCTGATGTTTAGATAGAACAGGACTTAAATACAGGTTCTTTATAGGTAATTGTGCAAGCCCTGGGACCAACTACAAGCAACCAGAATTACGAAGAGGCTAGTTATGGCCTTGTTATGGCGCTGTCATGTAAAGTACTTGGGTTGACATGTCGGCTACTAAGTTATTTAACAACCGAGCCATACTAACTATTGCAGATATCTTGCGTCAGATGAGACGATATTACGATTATGTACAGTGAAGTGGAAAGGACTTGGAAGGAAGAAGAGGTGAGGTGAGGTGATTGAAGCCTGCATTCGAACGATAGACGGAAAGGATAACCGAACTGTGTACTCGAATCAGACATTTTTGAAATACACGTCAGATGCATTACCAGTGAACTACTTGTACCTCGCTACGCGCACAGTTAATTATAATTTCTAACACGTTACATGACGGGCAAACAGAGTGTTTTGCCACATGAAACTGGAACATTAATAAATAATGATTCCGATTGTTCAATGGACGAACTATTCCACTCAGTCAGGACACAAATACGATTCAAATGTCAAATCGAAACCACGGTGTTCAGGTAAGGAAGACAGGCTTAAAATATTCACACGTCGGAGAGACTGCCCGCACTTCACTCGTTATACGCGGCCATAACAAGTACGCCTGTGTCATTAATGGCAGGCTTCCACTGAGAGTAAGAGTGTTATACGGAACATTTCTGTGGAGTGCAAGCTATTTTGATAAAAACATATTTAGCTGTAACTGTCAGTTTCCTACTTTCTTACGCAAATTTGACACTCATAATTTATATACATGTTTCCGGTTTGTGTTGTAACAGGAAGTTACTTTATAAATTGACATTCATATTTAAAAACGTCATTACAGGAGTTTATCTGCGATGTCTATTTCTGAGGATGACAATTCGCAAACTAATTACTAGACCAGTGAGTAGTTTACAATGGCAGACTTACATTTAGCAACAGCCTTGATCAAGTGAGAAGGTACATGATACAGTAAAACCCCTCAACTTGGACACCCCTATATCCTGGACACCCCCTTATATTGGAAACTTTTAATTGGAATCGGCGAATATCCTATAATTTTATATGTCACCCCTTTATCCTGGAACTTGAACACCCCTTTTGTTGTAAGTTGAACAGGTTCATGCACTTAACTTCGATGCTTTTCAGGGAAACTTTTTCAGTTACATATTTTGTTATTTTGAATTTCTGACTGATGAATGCCTCTTCTCTAGAGGATTATCTTATGGACATTGAAGCCGTCATTGGAATGCATTGCAAGTGTTTAACTATTCTTTTGTTGAACCCTTAACTGGACTACAGTATTGCAGAAGACAAATAGTCAGTGTATGTAAGTAAACAGATTATATTTTCATTAGACCACAATCTGATTTTTCTCTTTGCCTCTATCTTGGACACCTCTGTAAGTTGGACACATTTTCGTGGAACCCCAAGTGTCCAACTTAGAGAGCTTTTACTGTATTAGACTACTTCAGCTCGAATGTTATGTATTCAAAATGTCAGATAATACCACACTTCTGACTTCCCATACGTTGAAAGTGTAGATTATTTAGCAAGCATGTGTAGAATTTAAACGACAGAGTTATTAAACAATATTTAAGCGAACAGCTGCACCACTTTTGTCATTGTTAAATTAGGTTACAATAGAAGAGTCGATTTTTGGTCTACACTGAATTTGAAGAAAGAACGTGCTAAACCAAAGCATCCTTATAAAAATATTTGAAAAAAATTATACGAAATTTGCGGGTTCTGTTATTGGTTACAGTCTTCAGTAGGCCTATAGATACTAAAACTTTAATTATGTTGCATCATAAAGTAATGGTAAGGATATTAAATGTTTATAGGTATATGTCGACTTAAGTCGTTCTCGATACAACAAAGACTCCCACTCGAGTGTGACCAATGACCGTTGTTCACTCACCTGCTTCATTTTAAGCTTGTTTTGCTTTCACGCCCATAGAAAAGCAACATCACTTAGCTTTCTGCCCGGTTACTTCATCAATAATGCAAAGCGGCGTTTAAGGCGGAAGGGCACCTACCTTCTTTCACAGGTATAGTCGGCGCAGTAGTTTTTGGCTGGTGGAAAAGCTAGTGGAGCTGGCGGACGGGCCTAGTCTGTGTACCTGAGGTGGCACGGTCAGTGTATTTCTTTTGTTTGGGCGTTCAGTCCGATAAGCTCCTCGGTGCGGTCAGCATTATACTATCGCAAAAGAGACTCGCTCCTAGCCTTCCCCTTGAAAATTCCACCGGCCAAAAACTACTGCGCCGACTATAAACACGACAGGTAGGATTCAGCTATCAGATTTAAGACAGAGGTCGAAGTGAGTAATTTTAATACAAAGCCTACTTTTGTATTATGTGTCTTTTGCACTGCGTGAATAAACTGAAAGCATATTTGTAACATTGAGTTCGTCTGTTTGTCTTCATGTTTCAACTCGAAAACCGCTTGACCGATTATGATTAAATTCAAGAGGCATTTACAGAAAGTTGTTCAGTCATTTCGATAAATGTCGATATCACAGAAATAAACTTTCATAAGGGATTAAATATGTATTAGGTCTGGGTATAATAGAAAAATTCAAATTATTTGTCCAATTGTGATAATGAAATTTATGTTTCATGAATGCTATGATTTTTTTTTTTTACAGGTAAAGAGAACTCTCAATGTACACGCCAGCTGCGTATATTTCATGTACTGAAAAGTCTGTACTATAATTGAATGCATTGAGATGTTTCTTCCATGCCAGTACGAGGCCCTGAATAACACATGCAAGTTTTATACAGTGAGGGGATGTCAATCCCCTTCCCAAATCCTCCAAGCTGGAAGACCACTCTCTGTCGACTATCCGAAACTGCTTATTCAATACATTCACAACTAACTTCCATATCTCCAGACCGCCTCTGCTACCTGCAGGCTGAGGACGCATGACACCGTGGTTACAAGACACACACGGAATAAAATGTAACAAGGGAAATTAACTTTTATGAAGTGTTGAGGGATGTAAAGAATGCATATGGAATGATCTTAAATATCAATTCAGTAAATTTCAGGTCAGATACTTTAGACAAAACTGATTAACTCACATTAACAGAACTGATGACAACAAATTCCCAAACTTACCCCTCAGTACTCAGTAGTATCTTACGAGTAAAGCAGAGAGCATTCAAAAGACGACGAAAAACTAGGCACGCGGAGGACAGAATAAGAAATCTGTAGGTCAGTTCACGAATATTATGTCGCAGATATGCCCAGTGTCTGAGGTTCATTGACACGCCTTCGAATTTTGTGCTGAGGTTAGGTTTCGTATTTCACTACAGATCTACTGACAGACTTGTTATTACATTTTTTTTAAAAAAAGGGATGACTGTTGGGATCGAAGTCGGGACCTTTTGAACAACAGGACAGTGTAGGATTTGATACTTTCGCGGCGAGTACAATCAATAAAATCTTCTCGGGCAATCAGCCGCGTTAACTGGTTACCGTAGTAAAACGACGTTTCGGGAACAAACTCTGTCCCCATATTCAGGGTTGTGATGTGACTGGATCCTCGGAAGTCGTCTGAAGCCTGAAGATGGGGACCGAGTTTGTTCCCGAAACGTCGTTTTACTACGGTAACCAGTTAACGCGGCTGATTGCCCGAGAAGATTTTATTAAACAGGACAGTGTGCTAATCAAAAAGACCACCTGAAACAGGAGCAGAACCAAGTCTCGAAACGTCGCATCGTTTATCACATGCCTCATGCCCAACATACTTCAACAACAAAAATACAAGTGACGGTTCTGGACGTGTCTGGTCTCACTTGGTCTTAATATCACTTGACACTGAAGGAAAGGCAGGAAAGCCTTCACAGGGCTTCCTGATCGCTTATGGCCGATGATGATGATGAATAACAAAAAAGACCCAGAAGCACGCGGTTGGTCGTTGAGTTAGCAGAACTACAGAGAATAATTGTTGTACGCTCCGCCTTTACAGTCAAAGGCGACCTATACCTGACAAGACAGAACAACGTGCCTCCTCTGTAATTCTCATACTCCACTACAATATCCAACATGGTCGATATTAAAGTTATCGGGAATAATTAGCAGCGTATATCAAGAGCTGACCGGATCCATGATCTTAGGGCGTCTGAGCGTTAAGACAAGTACTTCGTAACAGATAACTGGTAAAGATGTGCTTCCTGCCTCACATCGCTCTGATTATAGATATCAAACACCTCTGAAACGTCGGTGAACTTTCACCAGACTACACGGTGCAACAACCCAGAAGACAGCCATCTTCAGACTCACCGCCGTGAAAACCTAAAATCCTACATAACTGATAAATGTTCTGATACCTTATCAGTAGAGTGTGGACTGTCGGGTTTCGATTCCTGAATTAATAGCTTTCGTTTAATTGCAGCAGCGAGACGGGGTGACGTTTTGTGTTTGCCGGTAAATCGATTTTAATGAAGGATTAGCACAGTTACTCATAAATGCTAAAGAAACCAATTTGCCTATCCAGATGGCAACACTGTCCACGATGCGAGTTAAATGTAAACCGACTTGACGCTGGTATCAGCATGAATGATGATCTCTTACTTTCTGTGTTGCCCTGTTATGCCAGAAGTTCTGTGACTAGCTAATCCCCATATAGGAGCTCTAAAATTTGTCGAAAACATTCAGTTTATTCTGAGGAAGAACATGACAGAAAGGAATAAAGAATACAAAGAAGGAAAAGATGAACAATTAAACAAAGAAAACGAATTTTTAAACCACACCTTACACTGGCTTCAACAGTTGTTACAGACGTTTAGAATTCTACTTTCTGCCAAGTGTTAGAACCGCTCCAAGTTTCCCCGCACTTCACTTGTCAAAACAATTCTAAAGCTCGAACTGATATGCACGTGTATTGAAGTGGACAATCAACAGCTGGCCGTGACCAGTCACGGGGAATTCTGACACGCCTACTAATCTCACATAAATATGACAATAGGCCATGCATGACCTGTCATTTTTATGAGACGTTATAATAATTGTCAATGCTGCTGGCCGCTCTACACAAGGCAGGGACACTTTTTTTACTAAGTTCTCTCTGTGTTTCGAGTTTTATTTAATTTGGAAGCTAAACTGTTTGTCTACTGTGATACAGACTTTCGATGGGCTGATTCACCATCCATTCACTTACACCGAATGATCAAAATAATAATAGTATAGTCGGCGCAATAGTTTTTGGCCGGTGGAGAAGCTAGCGGAGCATTTATTTTGTTTGGGCGTTCAGTCCGATAAGCTCCTCGGTGCAGTGAGCATTATACGATCGCAAAAGAGACTCACTCCTAGCCTTCCCCTTGAAAATTCCACCGGCCAAAAACTATTGCGCCGACTATAATACTATTGCTGTCGTTATAAACAAACGTGTTTTTTTTTAAAAAATGAAGTTGGGTCCCATTAAAAAACATAATCACGAAAGAAGAAAGACAGAAGGAACGGAAATGTGAAAATCTCTTCAAATAAACACAACATCAAGAATTATTTAATAGGGTCTATAACTTCTAATTTGTTGATCTTCATGAAATCTGAAGATGACTGTCTTTTGGGTTCTAGCGCCGTGTAGTCTGGTAGAAGTTTACTGACGTTTCAGAGGTGTCTGCTGCCCCCAGGGCAATAATAATGGAATGTATGGCGCTACAACTTGGAAGACAGCCATCTCTAGACTAATGCCATTTTTAGAGACAGGTTGCTGCATTTCATAGCGACAGTCATTCTTCCCTTATTCAATCAATCAAAAAATAAAAATTTGTGATTAGTCGTTGTCTTCAATAAATTACGTCATCAACAATGTCAACTTATGTTTGTTTATACTCGGCATTGTTGTGTTCCACAACAATGCCGAGTACAACACAACAATGCCGAGAAAACAAATAACGCTTAGTACCAAGCCAGTCGCATTATCACTGCTCTACAAGCAGCACGTCGCATTCTTGAATATTGACTGACAGTTGGCCTAAAACATCAGGAAAGTGAAAGAAGACGTAATCAACTATTTGAAGTATCAACTCTAACAACTCCAACAAGGTAAACTGATACTCATTCGATATATTACGATTAAGAAAGTATTATGAAAACTGGCCTTATGATCGATTTTAAGACGAAGATTTGCAGGGGTGGGGCTGGACGTACAAAGCTGACTGGCCAAGAGCAGTTGGCCTCTGAACAGCGACATAAATAAGTAAAAAATCAGATTAGAGAAAGTGCTCCGAATAAGACACTAAATTAACACCCCGAAGGTGGATAGTTTAGTGTCTTACTCAAGATTTTAAAACGCATCCAACCCCCCGAAGGGGGAGTTAGTCAAGTGTTTTAACCCGCCCATTGGGGGGTGAGAGTTAGTTTAGTTTCTTACTCAAGGGTTAAAAAACTTGAATGAGACATAAAGTAACCCTTCCGATGGGGGGTTAGTTTAGTGTCTTACTCAAGACTTTAAAACGCAACCAACCCCCCCGGAGGTGGGGTTCGTCAAGTATTTTAACCACCATTCGGGGTGTTGTTTAGTTTCTTACTCAAGGGTTAAAACACTTGAATGAGACGTTAAACAAACCCTTCCGAAGGGGGTTAGTTTAGTGTCTTACTCAAGATTTTAAAACGCAACCAAACCCCCAAAGTGGGGGGGTTTGTTCAAGTATTTAAACCCCCCCATTCGGGGGGGGAGTTAGTTTAGTTTCTTACTCAGGGGTTAAAACACTTGAATGAGACACTAAACTAACCCCCCGAAGGGGAGTTAGTTTAGCGTGTTACTTAAGATTTCAAAACGCAACCAACCCCCCAGAAGGGGGGGTTGTTCAATTGTTTTAACCCTCAATTCGGGGCGGTTAGATTAGTTTCTTACAAAAGGTTGGTGGAAAGGAGCGCCCTGCTCTAGTATTCAAAAAGACGAGAGTTAAAACGCGAAGCTGCTATATGTAGGCTACAACCTGTCACAACAATGACAATGAAGAATAAACTGCCTTTTTGACAGGTACAAGCACACCTAGTGACGTGTAGGGTCAATCCTATTGGTTGAAAGGTAGTAGATGAATCGCTATTGGCGTAAACCGCCCCAGCACCTGTCTGAAGGTTAATAAAACATCGGCCATTAAGTATTTCCCTATGAATGTCGAAGACTCCACCTTCATCACAAGTGGGACTTAAAGATTTTTTCATCAACCAATGAACAAACGTCGATATGATAATACTATGTATTGAACTGGGTTCTTTGAATTTACAATATATGAGATGATTCGCCACAAGAATGTTGGACAGTTCAAATGTAACTTCGGTTCTGCAAAACTTATGTTTAGTAATAACTTTGCCATTTTTACAAGTAACAGAATTTTAGTGAAAAGTTATACTTAAAAATACGGTTTTTATAATCCACATCGTGACGTCAGTTTCATAAAAGGAAAACATCTGTTTTCTACTAAAAAGTGTACAAGTTGTATTCATGTCATAATCTGCTTAGGCATGTTTTAGGTCCACTCCATTTTATATGTAGGACAAGAGGAGTGAAAATAGAATCTGTTTAAAAAATAGAACGAAAAACGAAGATTTAATGGGTAAGTATTATGTTTAATTTTGGAAAGCACCCTCTAAAAGTAGTTCACCTGTTTCTAAGGAAATACGCGAAAGTTTACATATGAATGCTCGTAATCTGTAAAAGTTGAATTTCGGACTTTGTCCACCTTCTATATTTCCATAAAATTACAACGTTTCGGAAGCTGGATTTTTTTTTCGTCTTCAGACTTCATCTATGAGTGATCGTGTCTACACAGAATATTGGACCTAAAACGGACTAGAGCAGCGAGTGCGGCCATCCAAAATTCGTGGTAACGAAAACACAGAAGTAACAAGATTTAGGCTTCTTATTTAATAAGGCATGTAATACTGGAATTTCTTTCGTGTGCATTCCCTGAATGTCAGGAGCTGGAGGACTACAGGCCTGTTTATTTACATGGCGAGAGATTGTATCGCTTTATGTACACCTACGTCGGAAAATCATATCAAAATATTAATTAGACTAATTACTTTTAAAAAAAACAGACACGGAACAATTTTGCGAACCCGAACACGGCAAATATTTTAGAAATGCCATGCAGGCATTTTTCAAAAGTATTAAAGTATGTCAGAGCTCTTTTTAGACGAAGATGGCTGTCTTCTGGGCTGTTGAGCTGTGTAGTCTGGTAAAAGTTTACCGATGTTTCAGAGATCCTTTCTACCTCCATCATCAGGGAGACGAGTCACTGATGATGGTGGCAACAAGGACCTCTAAAACGTAGGTAAACTTTTACCAGACTACACGGCGCTTCAACCCAGAAGACAGACAGCCATCTTCACCGGCAGAATTACCAGATATCGCCTTCCGTCAGCTTAGTGTATTTATGTAAATATAATGTGCAATATTGTCCGCTGTCAACAAACTACCTCTTGAAAGAAACATTGACTTCGCACTGTATTTGGACATAGGCTTAAACGTAAAAGTTTTCAGCAAAAGATTTTAAAAAATGTGTAATACTTGATACTTATTTAATGTATTGTTAAACTATTCACTGTATTTTGTCTCCTGGGATGTAACGCGGTGTAGTGTGGTAGTTATTGACCTCCGTTTCAGAGGGACTTATGCCTCCATGAGGCTATCGCCCTGATAATGGAGGTAGTGCGCCCCGCTGAAACGGAGGTCAATATCCACCAGACTACACGACGAAGACGGCCAACTTCTGAAGAGTAGGTCCGATGAAATGTCTTTGAGATAATAGTGACGGAACTTCGGGCTTCGTAAGACAAAATTTCTAGATCAGCTAGGCGATGTACGATGCAGTTGGTTAACTGTGCAGTTCTTGGTTCTTTCTGGACTACTAAGCCGTTACATGAGGCCCAAAGTAAGGACTGTGATGTGTTCAGGGCGCACTCTTCCGGTCCCTGTGGCTTGCAGAGTGTGTGGAGACAAGAGTTTCGGGAAGCACTACGGCGTGTACTGCTGTGATGGATGTTCCTGTTTCTTCAAACGCAGCATCCGACGCAAGATGCTGTACACTTGCATCGGTAAGTTAGCACTGTTATACGCTTGAAGCTGTTCAACAGCTACTCATCTATTAACGACTGTTCTATGCAGATCCACAACCGCGGACATCAATATGTTATAGACACATGTGAAAACAAGTGGGCCAGTTTTATTACAACTATAAATATGACCACTTTAGAATTACAAGAACGTTATAAACATCGCATGTGGACATTTATCTGGAAGTGCTGAGAAAACCCACAAAGAAATATTCGTCAGGATAGCTAATGTCCGGGCCGAGATTTGACCCATGACCTACCGAACGCGAAACAGGACTGCAAACCTTTCGACAACGATGAGAAAGACTGGACAATTTTCTCAAAAAACACCTTTCTAATTAATAGGAGGGTTTTACTTCATTTATTTGTCTCGTAATTTTATATCAGACCTTGTATTTCTCTGTTATTGTCTTCCTGTTGAAATATAGGAATTCAAGACGTAAGACGATTATAATACAATGCACTTTGCTTTCTGTTGCACTCAGCCGGAAAGGGAAACTGCGTGATTGACAAAGCACGGCGCAATTGGTGTCCTCATTGCAGACTGCAGAAGTGTTTCTCCGTGCACATGAACACTGCAGGTGAGTCTCCCAAATGGTGTGTCCTCGACCACTGGTGTGCCACGTGATTTCATTACTTATGTTCTTCATTTGATGTTAGATTTGAGGTTTTGACGGCGGTGAGTATGAATATTTCTGTCTTCTGGGTTGTTGCTCTGTGTAGTCTGGTCGATGTTAACCAACGTTTCTGAGGTCATACTGCCTCCATCATCAGGGCGATGAGTATTAAGATTTCTGTCTTCTGGGTTGTTGCGCTGTGTAGTCTGGTCGATGTTTACAAACGTTTCAGAGGTCATACTGCCTCCGTCATCAGGGCGATGAGTATGAAGATTTCCGTCTTCTGGGTTGTTGCGCTGTGTAGTCTGGTCGATGTTAACCAACGTTTC